ACTGTTGGAAATTATGAAATTTCTGATCACCTGAAAGTGATCTTAAATCAAGTCGAAAGTAAAAAGTGGTTGGAAATAACAATAAAGGTTTTTTCGAATACCAAAAATGGTCCGAACAAAGCTTTCAACTTGATTTAAGATCACTTTCAAGTGGTCGAAAATTCCATAATTTCCAGCAATGTATTATTTTGAGGTGTAAAAATTTTAAAATTGTTACTCCGAAAATCCAACAAGTTCGACAGAATCCAAAAGTCAAAAAATTGATGGGTTTTATTGTTATTGTTGTTATTATTATTATTATTATTATTATTATTATTATTATTATTATTATTATTATTATTTCATGAATTGGATTAATAAAATATTAAATCGAAATCCGAAAGAGTAGTTTTTGCATTTGAAAAATTGATCCGTCCGACACACCCCTAATTGAGTGAAATATACGAGTGTCAAACCAACTACCCACTAAATTATGTGTAAAGTACATGTACAAAAGTTAGTTAGATAATTTTCTGCATCTTAGTTGCTTATTGGTGAACTTGTGCAATCGTTATACCGTGTACCACGGCGCACATAGCAATGTTCGCCCAGCGCCTCGCAAAATGACGTTATTTTGGTATACAATTATGTATATTTTGTTATACATTTATGTACATTCTTTTATACAATTATGTACATCCGAAACAAGGGATTTTTTTAAGAGTTAAAAGTTTATGTGTATTATGTTAAGAGTTTATGTGTACTATGTTAAAAGTTTATGTGTATTATGCATGGTTGCAGTAGGCGCTAGGCGCTAGTCGGGTGCCCGGACAGCGCCTAGCGCCTAGGCGGAATCTAGGCGGGCGCCAAAAAAACAGTGGTAGACTTGCAGTTTGACAATTTTAATGGGGTTGTTTTCAACATTTAATCAAATAACACATCCAAATAAATGAATTAATGATAATTCATAAGTTATAACATCAAAACAATGGTTTTCAAAAAAAAAAAAAATATTAAAACAATATTAAAAATTAAAAATACTCAAATACTTCAATCATCCAAAGATTTAAAGTATCAAACTAGTCTACGAGTGTATATATGTCATATTATATATATGTATGCGCGTGCACACAGGATAAATGACAGGAATGTGTAGAGGGGCAAGAGAAATGACAAAAATGTGTGCTAACTTTTTTTTGGACAAAAATATGCAAAACTCAGTTACCACTTGCGTTTTTGGAGTGGTCCCGGATGTATTTTTTTTTTCTTTATTTACGTAAAACGCAAAGGTGACTTGCGTTTTTCGTATTGTATACCATAAACGCATCTGCCAAATGCGTTTTCATGCGACGTATGGAATACGTTAAACGCATTTGGGAGATGCGTTTTACGTATAATCCAAAAAAATACGTTAAACGCAAGTCCGAAATGCGGACTATTGACCGGCGCGTAGGACGAGTTTCGGGCCATCTGCGGCGAGCTCAAAAGGCGGCGATTCGAATAAGAATGTGCGTCTTACGCAGGATGCCAAGAACCCCAAAAAGTCGAGCAAATCGCAGCCGACCAACCCCAAGCAGTCTTCGCCACCAACTTCCCCGACGTCGCATTCAAAGCAGGCGGCGAAAGATGCATCATCGGCGTCGGTGGACGCTGACGGAGAGATGAACAACTCCTGTCCTAAACTTGGTAGCTTCTACGAGTTCTTCTCTCTCTCAAAAGGCGGCGATTCGAATAAGAACGTGCCAGCGCGGTCTGCTTCTAGCCGTTCTTCCGCCGACTTCGCGATCGCCGGAAATTGCCGGTACAAAAAATTCAACAAACGCAACTTACTTTTGCGTTTTCGCCTTTTCGGTATAATACTTAAAACGCAAGAGTAAGTTGCGTTTTTGCCTATACGGTATACCCTAGAAAACGCATTTACCTAATGCGTTTTACGTATACGAATACGTAAACGCAACCAACTCTTGCGTTTTACGAAAATACGGAAAATAAAAATAAAAAGCCTGGAAACAACGGAAAACGCAACTCCCAAAGGAGTTTTGCATATTATTGTCAAAAACGAAAAGGCAACACACTTTGGGAATTTCGCTTGGTTGACTACACATTCCTGTCATTTATCCCGTGCACACACACACACATATATATAATAAAAAAAAAATAGGTCGAGCCGATCGGGTTAACTCGACCGAAATGGACGAGTTAACTCGACTAACTTAGACGTTAGGCGGCCAAATCGGACGAGTTAGGCGCTAGGCGGACGCCTAGGCGGCCGGTAACCTAGGCGGGCGCCTAGGGGGAAATCGCCACGGTCTAGAGGCGCCTAGCGCCTAGGCGGGCGCTTAGACCGATTTTTACAACCCTGGTATTATGTATTATGTTAGATTATGTGTATTGTCTTTTCAAAAAAGAATATATGTGTATTCTGTTATACAATTATGTACATTTTCAAAACATGAGATGAGATTTTTTTTTATAAGAAGTTAATAGCAGACACGGAAAACGGAAATTTCCAAAAAAAAAAAAAAAGAGTACAAAATCACGTCGTTTTTCCCCAGGGTGCACTCGCCCTGATGCACAGTATAAATTGTCGTTATTGTGCATCAATGGTGTATCACGTTACATATATTTTATTGACAAATAAAACTATAGTAGAATTAGAATGATACTTTACTTTTTTCAAAAAAAAAAAAAAAAGAATGATACTTTACTATAATGAAGTTAGGATGTGTGTGGAAAATGAAACTAAAAAAGAGAGTTTATGCAATAACGTATATTATCAAATGAATCTAAAATGTAATAAAAATGATATTTCTGTGTTGCTATAATGAAACTAAAAAACATAGTCCATGCAATAACACATATTGTCAAATGAACGTGAAGTGTAATTTAAATGATACTTCAGCGTTACTATAATGAAACTAGTGTGTGTGAAAAAATGAAACTAAAAAACAGAGGTCATGCAATAATGTATATTGTTAAACAGTGGCGACCCAGAAAACTTGTTCAGTGGGGGGGGGGGGGGGGGGGGAGGGGGGAAACGCATTAAAACAAAAGAGATAGTTTGATAAAAAAAAAAAAAAAAACACTTAAAAGTATAGAATAAATATTGTTGGATGTGGACAAAAAATAAAACACATCAAAACTTTATAAAAAAAAATATTCATAACAAAATATGAAACATAATTAATTTGATAAAATAATTTGAATAAAAAATACATTATAAACACATCTCATTATTAATATAAAAGAAAGTTATATATATGTGTGTGTAAATCTCACAACTAATTAATACGAAGTATTTAAAAGTCATAAAAAAATATAACATAAACACTTTGCTACCTAAGTAAAACAAAATAAACTTGCGCACACATTGAGGATTCAAACCCTAGCCAATTACAAATACAAAGATAAAACGCACGCCTTGCCACTTGGTCTAATCATCTTTTGTTAATTTTTATCTATTTTATTATACATATACTAAAACTTGTACTATATATACATATATATATACATACAAGGGTTATATATGAAGTGGGGGTGGGGTGAGGGGAGCAGCTGCCCCCATGCTGGATCCGCTCTTGTTGTCAAATGAACGTGGACTGTAATTAAAATGATACTTCAGTGTTACTATAATGAAACTAGTGTGTGTGGAAAATAAAACAAAACAAAAAAAAAAAACAGAACTCATGCAATAACGTATATGATCACATGAATGTGAAATGTAATTAAAATGAGAGTTGATTAATTCTATTTTTTGTCATAGATTTATATGTGTCATTTATCTTTTAGTCTTTTTTTTTTTCCAAAAAAATCACCATTTGGTCATAGTATTATTTTGGTATGACCATTTTTGGTCATTTATTAACAAAATTGTTTAAATACACTTAGATACAGGACATTTTGTACTTAAAAAAAAAAAAAAAAAAAAAGATACAAGAACATTTTGGCCTCCAGGATTTTTTTCAAGAAAAATAAAAAATAAAAATATAACGAGTCAATTCATTTTGTAAAAAAAAGAAAGATCGAAATGCCCTTGTAATTAACGTCATTTCAACGATTTTGTTGACGTAAAATAAAAAATGATCATGTCACGATAATACGGAACGTTATGCTATGAGCACGTGGTCACCTTGCAAGGTGGGCACGGTTTCATATCCATAATTTTTATACTGTAAATTCATAATTTCTATATTATAGATCCATAATTTATATACTGTAGATTCATAAAATTTATATTTTAGATTCATAATTTCTAAACCGTAGATTTTACAGTAGATTCATAATTTCTATACAGTAAATTCATAATTTCTATACTGCAGATTCATAATATCTGTACTGTAGATTCATAATTTCTGTACTGTAAATTCATAATTTTTAAACTGTATAGTTATCAAATTATGAACATATAGTTCTCTGATTTGTGAAAACAGAGTTTAACAATTGGAATCTAAAGTATAAATTTTATGAATCTACAATATAGCAATTATGAATATAAAATCGTGTCCACCTTGCAAGGTGGGCACGTGCTCACAGCATAATTTGCCCGATAATACTATGACCAAAGACGGATGTCCTAATAAAAAACGACTAAAAGTGTATGCCACATATAAATCTAAGAAACAAAAAATGTAATTAACTCGCGTACGTGTGTGAAAAAAAATAAAAATTATACAATAATTTATATTGTCAAATGAAACTAAAATATACAGAATAATTAAAATATTACAACTCCGTTTTATTCCATGATCCATGTAGCCATGTTGCTACATGTACCATAATCCATGCTGCCTTAATGTTGACATCAAACTTATGATTTAGGAACGCCTCGTGCATTTAATATTTTGGAAGAATGAATGATTTGACTTTCTGTAACTGGCACTTTGGTAGTTTTGATAATTCTAGGGGGTGGAGTTTAATTGACAAAATTACCCTTAATCCCAAAAATAAAAATTCCTTAAAAAAAAAAAACACATAAAGAAAAAGAAAGAAATTTTACATTTTACTTGTGGGAGAAAACGCGCGGAATCCTCCATGTCTGGTTTCCCATTATAAATCTTTCTTCTTCGATCAGCAAACCGCCAAACCAAACTGCACACAAGAATTTACATTTTACAGAAAAGAGTGGAGAGAGTGAGTGTGAACCGAAATTGTAGAGAGAGAAAGGCGGAACGCGAATCCATGGCGGAGTTGCAGAGTGGATTTCGTCTGTTGCTGCAGCAATTCAAGGCGCTATTCGCGAAGAACGTGCTGCTGTCTTGGAGGAGCAAGCGCGCTACATTCATTCAGCTCTTCTCCTCCCTCGTCTTCATCTTCCTCATCTTCTGCATCCAGAAGGCCGTCGAGTCGCGCTTCTTCACCTCCACGTCCTTCAAGAACGTCTTCGATCCCCAGCCGCTGGTGGCGCCGCCGATCCCGCAGTGCGAGGACAAGAGCTTAGTCAAGCTCCCCTGCTTTGACTTCGTGTGGAGCGGAAATGAGAGCCGGAGGTTTAACCAAATCGTCACCGGAATCATGGCTAATAATCCTGGCCGCCCTATTCCTTCTAATAAGGTAATGCTGGCTTTTGGTGTAGTGGTAATCACGCAATCCTAATCCTAATAATAATAATGTTTAAGACAAATTGATGCTCAGAGAAGAATTGTTGAACGGTTCGAGCACTAATAATTACATTTAAAACTGATTGATGCTAGGAGGGGAATTGTTGAGCACTTCGAGTACTAATAATACCAGCGGAGGCTAGTAAAAGCCAAGTCTAGCATCGAGTTAGTGATTGCTGGATAGAGGCTGGTATAAGGAAATAAAGTTGCAATTTCGCTACTAGCAATAATTTTTGGCGTAGCTATAAGTGCTTGATCCTAACAGTAATGCTATTCGTGTTGACCTTATGCGGATGTGATTTTTGTTTCATTTCTCTGCTGATTAAGAAATTGATATGTAGAGAATACTGAGTACTAAACAGAATAAAAATTGAAAAATGGTGTCATAGTGATTTAGTGTTTGACCATAACCACATTCATAGGCTCAGACAGAATTTTTGCTGTATTGTGGTTGAGTTGATTCCACATTTAGCTCAACAGTTGGACTGGATTAGTCGAAAATGATATATAATGGAGTTGTTTGAGTGAAGATCTGGCAAAGAATATTACAGTAGTATAACAAAAGATTAGGATTAAAATTAAAAGTTTATAACAAAAGTGCTTTATTAAATGGATATAATCACTTGATTAGGGCTGTGGAGATAAACTTAGCCCAGGGTTCTTAGTTTATATCAATAACTTTCTTCTTTTTCCTCTTTGGTGTTTCAATGCTTTCATAAATGGAATCTGGAAGTTGAAGCTGCTATTTTGACGTATTACGCATATTCGGTTGTTTCTCATGAACTAAAAGTAGCGATCTCTTTCTTGGAAATTCTTCTCTAGATATGCCTTTGGCTTTTAAAGTTTCATGTCAAGTGTCAACATAGAATATGGTTTGTTTGTTGATGGATTTCAGACTTTTCTCAAAGGTTCAGATGCTTAGACTTATTTTCTTCAAAAGAATTGTAGAGATAATGCTGGGTTGGATTGTCATGCTTGTTGCATAGTGCTTCTCTCTTGACACAATGAAGATTAAATCTTGCTAGGCAGTAGGCACACAGTAACAGAAACTAGTACAGTTGTTGATCCAGACCTAAATACGGAGAAACTAATTAGTAAGGAAGCCACAGTAATGTTGCTTTCTCAAATGAATTTGTAGCTATTGACTTTAGATGCCATCTGGTTTTTGGATGAGTGTGAAATAGACTGCATACTCTCTACCAGGGTGTAGGAATGTTCATACAATTGTAAAGTATATCACTGAAGCAGAGATTCATTGTTTTGATGCATCCTGAAATTTATACTTCGAACTCCAATCTTTCTAATTTCACCTAGCTGCAATTACTAAATTTGCAGGTTCAATCATTTAGAACTCGGGATGAAGTGGATGTTTGGCTTCTCAACAATGCTATGCATTGCCCTGGAGCTTTGCATTTTATTGAAAGAAATGCCAGCGTTATTAGTTATGGTCTACAGACAAATTCTACTCCAGTGTCCAAACGAGGAATTTTTGAAGATCCCACCTTTAAGTTTCAAATTCCACTCCAACTTGCTGCTGAGCGTGAAATTGCAAGATCTCTGATTGGAGGTACACAAGAGGTCAATAGTTTGGCTTCCAATATCATTGAAATGTTATATGGTTGTTTATCTTGATTTTTTTTTTTTTTCCACATCTTAATTGCACCTTTTATGGCCATGTATGTGTTTAGATCCAAACTTCAGTTGGCTTGTCAGCTTCAAGGAATTTGCACATCCTGCGGTTCAACTTTTCTCAGCTGTTGGTGCAGCAGGACCAACATTTTTCCTGGCAATTGCCATGTTTTCTTTTGTCTTCCAAATTAGTGCTTTAGTTACAGAGAAGGAACTCAAACTTCGACAGGTATCACCTACTTTATATTTTCTTCTCATGAAAAATATATCCTGCATATTTTCCAGAATTATTCTCATATTTTTCTTGCCATATTTGATTTACAGGCTATGACCATGATGGGTCTTTATGATACTGCCTATTGGTTATCATGGTTCACATGGGAGGGAATTATGACACTTCTGTCAACACTTATAACATTGTTATTTGGGATGATGTTTCAGTTCGATTTTTTCTTGAATAACAGTTTTGCAGTTTTATTCATGCTGTTTTTCCTTTTTCAGTTCAATATGGTACGCTTCATTGTCCACTACACATCATTAAATTTACTTCATTTAATGGACTATTAACACTACAAAATAACTGACACAATATTTTTGTGCTAATATATGATACATGCTTGTTGCAGATTGGTCTTGCTTTCTTGCTATCTGCTTTTATTAACAAGTCATCTTCATCAACAACTGTGGGTTTCTCGATTTTCATCATTGGTTCCTTGACTCAGGCAAGAATCCATCTTCTTTATCAGCAATTACTAATTATTAATTGATTCATGATGACATTTTTTAAAAAATTTTGTTTCTTTTCTGTTTTTCCCCACTTTCAGGTTGTCACAGCATTTGGTTTTCCATACAGTAAAACGTTCCCTGATGTCTACCGGATTATTTGGTCCTTTTTCCCACCAAATCTTCTTGCTGAAGGTCTTCAGCTGGTTGCTGCTGCAACTGCAACTCCTGAAGATCCTGGTGTTAGCTGGAAAGCAAGAGCAAAGTGTGCCCCAAACGATGATGACTGTCTAATTACCATGGTAGGTAGATTCTTTTGCTACTTAAGCATTAGACTTTGGCTTTTTCTTGGAGCTTGGGAATGTGGAATTTTGATACTATGGTATTTCAACATCCTATCCCTACAATGACAGACAAAATTTTTAACCAGCAGAGAGGGAATGGGGTGGGGGGTAGCTTGATCTGGGAAAACTTTATGACTCGCTATTTCTTGTTTTAGTTACACATGATTTGTTTTAATTACAGAACGAAATTTATATATGGCTCGTAGCAACATTCTTTCTCTGGTTTGTTCTTGCTATCTACTTTGATAACATAATTCCAAATTCCTCTGGTGTGAGGAAATCAATGTTCTACTTCTTGTATCCTGGTTACTGGACAGGAAAAGGCGGGGATAAGGTAACAGGTAGTTGACTATTGAACTAATGCTTTCACTTTACCTTTTCTCTCGGAAATCTCAGTGACTGAAGAACTTTAACATCGTATGTTTTCCTTCAGAGGGTGGTATCTGTAGTTGTACCAGTGCAATACCTTCCTTTGAAAGTAGTGTTCCGGATGATGAGGATGTTCTTGAAGAAGAAAACATTGTGAAACAGCAAGCTAGTCAAGGTGAAATTGATCCTAGCGTTGCAGTTCAAATACGGGGTCTTGTGAAGATATATCCTGGATCAAGGAAGATGAGCTGTTGTAGTTGCAAACGGAACCCGCCTTATCATGCTCTTAAGGTACTAAGGAGGTGTTAGATAAAACTTATGTAATTAGGTTATTGAGAGTGTATATTAAATAATCCACTTTCTATTTTAGGGAGTCCTATTATCACGGTTAGATTTCATGTTGCACAGTTGGTACATCCCACTTCATGAGTAATGCACCCAAATGCATAAAGTTGACTTTTTCTTCCATTTTAGATTTGGCAACAAATGAATTATGTCATTTCATCTCTGTTCTCTTCCCATCCATCTCTCACTATTCTGAATTTGTGAGCAATTGCAAGATGAAATAAAGGTGTCTGACATTGGTTGTGTCTGCAGGGCTTATGGGTGAACTTTGCCAAGGATCAGCTATTTTGTCTTCTAGGGCCCAATGGGGCTGGCAAAACTACTGCTATAAATTGTCTGACTGGAATTACACCAGTTACTGATGGCGATGGTAGTAGCTTTCCTTTCTAAGTCCATGCTTAGTATGAATTGTTACTGAAAAACATAATAATGAATTTTCATTTCACAGCATTAATATATGGATGCTCAATTCGTAGTTCAACTGGCATGTCAAATATTCGACGGATGATAGGAGTTTGTCCTCAGGTAAGTCTTCTTTATTTTGGATGACGAGGGAAACCCCACATAACCCTTTCGGGTATAGGTAAAACCCCGCCTTGTGATCCTGGCCGGCAAAGGACCACAATGAAGTAAACCAGCCTAGGTTACTCATAGCTGACTGGCTCAAACTAAGGGGACAAGGATTTGAACTCGTGACCTTGTGGTTACAAGTGTGGATCTATTGCCATCTTGGCTGGGGTTACCCCTAGTCTTCTTTATTTCTACTCTCTTGTGTTGAGTTTTCAGCAACTAATTGACTCTCCCGATGATGTTGACTGTCTTCCAATTTTCATAGTTTGATATTCTCTGGGATGAATTGTCCGGACAAGAACACCTCCAACTCTTTGCCAGCATCAAAGGTCTACTCCCTGCTTCCATAAAAAAGGTGTGTTCAGAGAAGAAACCTAGACTGACCCTTTAAATTTTTGAATTTTTTGAACAAGCTCCTTCAATTTAGGATCATATCCAATTATGAATGTTTCTCAGATAAATGCTTGTTATAAAAACACAGGTTGTGCGGGATGCATTAGCTGAGGTAAAACTGACTGCTGCTGCCCGAATGAGAGCTAGCAGCTACAGTGGAGGAATGAAGCGTCGCCTCAGTGTTGCAATAGCCCTTATTGGTGAACCAAAATTGGTCATCTTAGATGAACCGGTGGGTGGTATAAACATGTTTTGTCATTAATTGCCGAGAAATATTCTGATATTGTTTTTAATTGTATTCCCTACAACTACATAGACAACTGGCATGGATCCAATAACAAGAAGACATGTCTGGGATATAATTGAGGATGCAAAGAAAGGACGAGCCATCATCTTAACCACTCATTCGATGGAAGAAGCTGACATTTTAAGTGACCGCATAGGTATCATGGCCAAGGGGAGGCTTCGTTGCATTGGGACTTCAATAAGGTTGAAGTCAAAGTTTGGAACTGGTTTTATTGCTAATATCAGTTTTTCTGGAGGGACAAATGGGACCCCTACAGAAGATACTGTCACTACAGTTCAGCATGAAGCAGTAAAAGAGTTCTTTAGAAGTGTATGTAAATGATATCTGGTTTTCGTTTCCTAAACTTGAACAATATGTGGTTTGGCTTGATTATCGTTTTTGCAGCATTTGGATGTGGTTCCTAAAGAGGAAAACAAGTCGTTCCTGACCTTCGTCATTCCACATGACAGGGAGAGTCTTTTAATGGTACCGTTTAATGTTGTTTTCTTAACTTGTAAATGAGATTTTCACTGGAAAATATTGACATTCCTTTTCGGCTTTTCCTGCCTATACCATTCTCAGGACTTCTTTACTGAACTTAAAGATCGAGAAGGAGAATTTGGAATATCTGACATCCAACTAGGGCTCACAACACTAGAAGAGGTTTTCCTCAACATTTCTCAACAGGCTGAAATGGAAAATGCCGCTGCTGAGGGAAGTTTTGCAACACTTACATTGAACTCAGGGTCATCAGTAAAGGTAAGTGTAATTGCCAACTTCTTGCTCAACAGAACCAAATAGGAAAATAGTATATCAGATCACAGTTTGGTCACCTTTCCATGATAACCTTACAGATACCGGTCGGAGCAAGATATATTGGGATTCCTGGGACAGAATCCGCAGAAAATCCCAGGGGTGTTATGGTAGAAGTTCACTGGGAACAAGATGATTCCGGTAGACTATGCATCTCCGGTCACTCAGAAGAGATGCCAATACCTCCCCACGTTCAACTTACAGCTACTCCAACTCCCACTTCTGGTTGGGGCCTAAGACGACGAAGAAGAAAAATTCTTGGAATAGTAATTGATCCTGCACAAATCAACGTCGAGAATGTACAGTGATGCAATGACTATATATATACCACAATCCATCAATCATTCTTATGCCCACTGCTAAAATTTTTGGTAATGCTGCTACTCTCTTCTCATTGTATAGCCAGGACACTTATATATTTTTTGTGGGTTTCTTTTGTTAGAAATAAATAAAATATATTTGTTTACAGTCATCAGTGCATATATATATATATATACATGCTCTATTTGAATGATGGTATTACATACTATGTTCATGTATTAAGTTTGCAATTTATTCTGTCTGCCATGAAAATAATTAAGGCAACTACCAATCTTGAAATTGTAAGGAGTAAACTATCCACAAATATAATAGTAAATCCTGGATGGCAATGACTTGGCGTTATATACAGAATCATTTCTGGGCCGGGCTAAGCAAGGGATTATTAAACGAAATATTCGATATATAGATAATCTTGAATAGTTCCATTGTTAAGATTGCTGAGTCTGTAAGTAAAGTGCAAAATACTAAGAGGAGGTATTCGCGCTTAAAAGGTTTCATGCTCCTCTAACATAGGGTCATTATTTGCCAAAGCATTATCCAACATGAGGGAAAGTAATCATTGTTTTACTACAAGTGACAAAGATATCAAGGATATGGAAAGTAACTATTTTGTTTTCTTTATTTTTGTAATCATTGTTTTACTACAAGTGACAAAGATATCAAGGATATGGAAAGTAACTATTTTGTTTTTTTTTTTATTTTTAATCGTTAATTATCTTGGATAGACCCATCTATTTAGATGAACCAACGATTGATCAATCGAGGCCTTAAGGGTTGTTGAGAAATAAGGAAAAAAGACATGATTTGTTTTATAAATATTGTAAACTCAAAACCTTGCTATAAAATTAACACATTGACGTACACATGCTTTATTTATTACTAAAAGCTTCAACGAAGGAATTGTTCTACCTTGTTCAACGGTACGGTGGATGTAAACAAGGTATATGTTGTGATGTCAGTTTGTTCAAAAAAATCAATTATTTTTTTAACACCAAAACAAGTTACACAATAAAAAATCAGTGGAAACAAGAATCGTTGGGAACAAAGAATGGTTGAATGCACTTTCAAACAAAAAAGAAGATGAATTCGATCTATCCGTGAACTAAATCTATGTATGTATATATGAATTGAAGATCGAGTATACGTACTATTTAGAAGTTAAAAGCTCCAAACACCAAAATTCAAATACAAAACAAAAACAACTAACATTAGCCTAATTCTCTGATCTAGGATCTATGCGTTGGTTTGTTGTTGATGATCCTCCAGAGAGTCCACCAACACGCTAGCGGAGACAATCATGCCTAGAATCTTCTCCTTCTCGTTGTGGGCTGCATTCGCGATTTCATCGGCGCATTCTGAGATTTTCTGCACCAAGAACGGTTGCCCGTCCGCCGGGATCCCCATCCCGGAAAGCATGCCGGAGACGAAGCCGCGGGGGATTTTCTCATCAGGGTTTAGGCGGCGGCACGGTGCCCAGAAGTGCTCCGTTTTGGTGATGCTCTCGAAGCAGTCGGGGTCAAAACCCTCATCATCATCATCTTCATCTTCATCTTCATCGTCGATTGCGTTTGGAGGCGGGGAGAGAAATTCAAGATCGATTCGGATGTAGAAGAAGTGATGATCAGATGTGGAGGAGGACGGTGAAGATTGGAGGAGTTCCGGTGTAAGAAGATGCGGAGCCTCCCATACGTCGCAGTAGCAGTCATCGATTGGGGTCATCGTCTCACACTCCATTCTCTCTCTCTGTGGAAGAATTGAATCAAGAAAACGAGAAATTCTTTAAGAAACCTAGTAAGGATTGGAACTCGGCAAAAGCAATTCAAGGCGGTTATCACTTACGAGAACGTAACTCATATATATAAGGAATAAGGGTCAAATAGGCCACTGAACTGTACACAATAATGCAATTAGGCCACTGAACCTAAAAAACCTACAATTAGGTCCCTAAACTAACCAATTTCATTCAATTTGTCCATTTCTCAGGTTTCTCAAGTTGCTAACAGGTTACCCCTCCACCTAGGATGCATATGTGGCATTTAAAAAAATTTTAAATCCTTTTTTTTTGAACACCTTAAATTAGTTTTTTTTAATGTTTAATAAATAAAAACTAAAATAATTTGTTTTTTTTTTGAAAATAAAATCCAAGCCCTATACGACTTAACAAATTATTTTATTTTCAAAAAAAAAAATTAATTTTATTTATTAAACATTAAAAAAATTGATTTAAAAATAAATTATTTTAGTTTTTATTTATTAAATATTAAAAAACTAATTTTAAAATAAATTATTTTTTTAAAAAAATGCCACATATACATCCTAGGTGGAGAGGTAACTTGTTAGTAACTTGGAGAAACTTGAAAAATGGACAAATTGAATGAAATTAGTTAGTTTAGGGACTCAATTGTAGGTTTTTTAAGTTCAGTGGCCTAATTGCATTCTCGTGTACAGTTCAGTGGCCTATTTGAGCCTTATTCCTATATATAATATATATTGCGTGTTTCCTACGTCAAATCATAATTGAATTAGGTTTCTTCATGCCCAAGAAGCTAAGAGTGATTAGAATTAGGTTTCTTCATGCCCAAGAAGAGTGATTTAGGGACCGTTGGGCTTATCTCACTAGTTCAATAGACAATATTTAAGATAAGAAAAAAAAATTGAATAAATAAAGTATGATTTTTATATTTAAAAGATAAATTTAATTTTTGTAAATACTCGATCTTTTGAAACTAATTAAATTCATCACAAAATATCTTTCAAGATATATTTTACGTCTTACTAAATATAGATTGAGTTTATCTATTACACTAATAGATACTCATTATGAGTTCTCTTCTAAATTAGAAAAAGGATTAGGTTTTCTTTTCCTATGAATCTATAAGCTTTAAACCATGATTCATGTTATTATAAAGAAATATTCATTTTTCCTAAATTAATCACCTTGTTTAATAAATGCTTTCTTCTTTTGTTTAACTTTTAGATCTTTTACTTATTTTAGCTATTTGACTTAATCAACTAACTAAAGTGAGTATTTAGAGATTAGAGCATACTTGGGTCAAGCATTGAAATCAGAATCACATATTTGGTAATTGTAATTGATTTATTTAAGTAAAAAAAAAAAGGAAATCTAATCAATTAATTAATATATATATATATATATATATATATGTGTGTGTGTGTGTGTGTGTGTGTGTGTGTGTGTGTGTGTGTGTTTATATATTAAAATTTCATATTGAATGCATAATAACTTTTTTATTTTTTCATTCCATTGTTAAATGTTTTTGGTTTTTTTTTTATAGTGTGTAAAACCTAGACCTACCCACAAGTAAAAAAATCTCACCAATGAAGTTGCTCTTAGTAAATAACTTAGCTTTAAGACTAACTTTTTGAACCTAACAAGCCAATTTTGAAAAAAGTTCAATTGTTCTATCATAAACCGCCATGATCTACATTATAATTTATAAGAGGTCTATTGATTTAAGGTTCACTTTTAGTATGTTGAAGATTCATTTTTATACTCCATATTCTTATTTAATTTAGTATGTTCATTATATCTTGATATATTTCATTTTTAGTATATATGTCACAAGTTCATTTTTAATGTACTATCTAAAAACAAACATGTAGTACACTAAAATAGAACCCGCAATATACTAAAAATGAATCTATATCAATAATTCATATTGCAATGCTAACCCTAATTCATGATATAATTTGCTAAAAAAGTTACTCAGAGTAGTGTTTCATTTCAACTTTAAAAGGAAAAATTATAAAATTCTTTTAATACCACTTCTTCTTCTAAACCTTAGGTTCCCCTCCCCCTATCTCTAAAACTTTTCATTTTAACTAACAGATTATTATTTTTATTTTTAAAATTCTAATTTGTTTGCTCTCAAAAAAATATTCTAGTGATGAAAGTAGTGAGAAAATAAAATCTTTTATTAAATGTTCTTAATTATTATATGTTATTTAATTTTTATTTTTATCTTTATAAATAACTTTATTAATGAAGTTATGTTATGAAACAAAAGGAAATGTGAATGTCCAAGTTGAGTTTTGAACCCTTACCCTTGTGTATAAGGGATGAAGTCTTCTCCACCAAGCTACTTCGACCACAAGGAATACTTACTGCTAAGTCACATTAAATGGTGGTTCATAATTCTCCAAAAAGCTGATTGCAAGTTCCAAGAAGCAGCAACAGGGAATGGAGATCAGGACCTCAAGCACGACACAGCAATGCTACATCTTCAGCTACCAACTAGGCTAGCTTTGCTACCTGTCCACCTTATGCGAATTTAATATTTATTACCTCCTAAATCTCAACACTATAAATACCCCTTCCCTCCATGATCTTGGATATGCAGAATATATGAAAAGCTAAATCATATTCTCTCAACTCCCCATCCGTACTGCTGTTCCCCTTCTACTTCATAATATTAGTATTGTTATTATTATTATTATTATTATTCACAACAAGTTAGTATTTGTTAAATATTATTTATTAAATGTGCTTATTATATAATTAATTAATAAATTATTAGTATACAATATATTCATATCATTGCATAAAATCATTTAAATGTTATCAATTAACAATTAATGTTACCAAATACTTCTTTACAAACAACTAATGATCGTCTCAATTGGTTAAACCAATTAAACCAATTTTTAACGAAAACAGAACGTCGTTGTGTTATGGCTTACAAGTGATGCAATGTCTTAAAAAGGGACAGTCTGAGTTTTATGAAGTCGAGCCAGATCTTATAAAAGGTCGATCAACACCTTCTCACAGGTCCTTCATCAAATGCAAACACTACAGACTTGGTCATTGAGTTCTTGAAAAATGCAATCTGAGATTTTCTGCACCAAGAACGGATGCAAGTAGGCTGGGATACCCATGCCGGAAAGCATGCCGGAGACGAAGCCGCGGGGGAGATTCTCAGAGTCCAGGCGGCGGCACGGTGCCCAGAAGTGCTCCGTTTTGGTGATGCTCTGCAAATTTTGGGTTCCCAGTCCACTGGACTGGGTGAAAGATAACGGCTCAAGCCGGGAAGGTTGAAAATGGTCTACTGGAAAGATGGTGTGGGGAGGTTCACAGTCAAGATTGGGATTACAAATAGCTTCATGGCAGAACTGTGGGGCCTAAAGAAGGGT